CCTTTCATTCAGGGAGTTGAGATTGTAAAACGAGGGCAGTCAAGCCTTTTCTGTAAAACAGAAAAGCGCATTATTGATGAATCTATGAAGGTGAATAATACACGTACCCTACAGCAAATTATAGAGGATGTGCTCAAGGAAACTGTAAATGATCTTTCTCAGATAGACCTCAATGAATTAGTTAAAACTAGTACGTGAAAGCTAGAAAAAGATAACAAATCTGTTTAGTGTCTCATTTCACGAATGCGAGACCAGTATACTCGTGAAGAAGCAGATGCCAAACAGCTCATAAAAAAGGGTTTAACTCCCGATCCTTATATTTATCAAATCTCAGAATTGGATGAACGCTTTGAATATGTTGTAGTTAAGTCGAATAATAGCTCATTACAGAAGGTGGAAGATAAAATGGAGTACCCAGAAGTAGAAAGGTGACTAGGTAAAAGATTGATATTAATTACTATCTGCAAAGCATTGTCGTTCTATACACACATTTTATAAATTATGATGAAAGATACCAACCATCTTCTGAATCTTTGTTGGAAGCCCTGAAAAAATCAAAAGATGGCAAGAATCCTGATAAAGTATCAAATATGAAAGATACTTTAACGTAAAAATCAGCTGAAAACTGGGTTAAAAAGTATATTAAAGACCTATATGAAGGTCTGAAAAAAGATGAAGCTATCATATCCTATTTATGGAAAAAAGCTAGTAATTACGCAAAAAAATTATTTGATACTAATTATGCTGGTAAAGTAGTAAAATACTCGGGTAATATTGGTTATTACACTTCCTCTCTCAATGCACTAGATAAGCTAGAAGAATCCATTCGCTTAAAGCTTTTATCATTATTCAAAGAAATTTCTAAGATCAATGTAGGATACAAAAAAGAAATGTATAAATTAGTTATTAAGAATGCTAAAGGAAGAAATAGGCACAAATAAAAAGCTATGACTATAGAATAATATTTATTATATTATTTGGATGAGTGCAAATTACTAGCCGATTTCTGAAACATATGGTACAAAGTGGTTGGTCTAGAAATCACACGCTATCAAACATTATCGAAGTTATAGGATGACAAAAAAGATGATTCGTCCGAAGTGAATATAGATGATATCATTGAACTATATTGCTAAGTATTCTTAGTAGGATGTGGCAATTTCAGCTAAGAAACTTATAATATTATTTATATATTTTTTCTCGTGCAATAATACTGGCTAACTTCAATTTTTATCTTCGAACTTCTGACCTCTGATCATATAACCTGACCTCAGATATACCCAGAGAGGATAAAAATAGTTCCAGTTAAGAGAAAATCAGTATTACTTTTTTTCGATGAATTTCAGTATTTTCTAACCACAAACTATATAACCGCAATCAGTAGAAAAACAAGTATGAAATATAATACCATCGGTGACATTAGAGAGTTAATAACGCCAGGAACAGTCACTGATACTAGAGGCATTTCTTGAGACAATGGTACTACTTCTGCGTCACCTGAATGCTTCGCAATCCCTTTTCTCGAAATAAAATTTTCGGAATGTGCTGATAGACTATAAACAGATTGATTAAATAAGGTAACTTCCTGGTTTTTTAAAACTATCTCATCCCGGGATAATAGATCTTGCAAAGTCTCTAATATATGTTTTCTGGCAAAACTTTTATCGAATTTCATAACTTTATTTTTAAGACCAAACTTGTAGACGAGAGGTCTTAGATTATCACTAACCTAATCTGAAATCTTTTACGATAAATCGTTCATAGGCAGAGGTGAGATGTTAAAGAGATCTGCTATTTCATTATCTTTCTTTGAAATTATCTCTTGAAGACAAGAATTTTCCTCTGTTAACTTTAATCGTGCTGAAGATAGGAAGTCTATTGTCTGACTGGTTATCTTATGTGACGCTTTTATCCCTTTCTCCATACATTCTATTTCATGTTTTTTTGAATTTAAATCCTCCTTTACCTGTTCAAATTCAAGCCTGAGAGAATCGATTTCTTTAGGATCAGATAAGTTTATTTGGGCCAGTTCTTCTATTACCCCTCCTACTACATTTGAATCACAGAACATCGGATCTAGTTTTAAGTCCTCTAACTTACCTTCCAATTCAACTACCTTAGTTTCAAGAGAAAGAATTGTAACCTTGTCAGAGAATGAAGCTTTCTGAGCCAAAGATAGCTCTCTTTTTAATATTTTGATTTTGGCAGTATATTTAACTTCAAGCTTACGTTGACTCTCAAAATGAGACTTCCATTCAGAAATGAGTTGGGATCTAACTTTAGTATTAGATGCATTTAACTGGCTAATCTTATTATCAATATCAGCATAGCTTTGCTGAAATTCCTTTTCTCACTCTAAACATATATCCTGCAGGTTTCTATATTCATTAGCAAGATCAGCAACAGATTTGCTACTAATACGCAATGCCTTCTCAAGCTCTA